CCGCGGGCGGCGGCCCCGACGGCTCCCCGCTGCCTGACCCCGCCGCGGGCGCCCGGCCGTGCGGGCTCGGCGTCCCGGGAAGGGGTCCCTGCCGCTCGATCCGCGACATCCTGGCCCAGATCCACCCGCTCGGGCCTCAGCTGGCCGACCCCGCGGTCTTCCGGCCGCAGGGGGAGCCGCCCGCCAGTCCCTGACCCGGCGCCTCGGTTGCGCGCGCACGGGGGCTCCCCGCTGCCCCTAGGCGGGGTCCCCGGTCACCCTCGGTCCCCACGTCCCCACGCGGAGGCCGGAGCCCTTCTCCCCCACCGCCGGCTCGGCTCTGGGATGACAGAGACAGCGCTGGCGAGGGCGCCCGCCCCGGAGCTCGGCGGGTACCCCGAAACGCTCCCGGCCCCCGAGGCCCCTGCGTCATCCCTGACTCCCCTCTGTCAAGTAGAGCGAAGTCGGTGCCATTCCCCAAACCACGCCCAGGGGCCGGGAGCTCGGCGCCCGCGGGCCACTGCGTGAGGGGCGCGACAGGACCCGAGTGTCGCGGGTGTGGGCGAGACGGGAGCAGCTGCCTGCGCCCTCCGGACGCAGCTCAATAAACCGCTGGAACGCGATGCAGACCATGCGCTTTCTTGGAGGCCGGGGTCTCCTCTTGGGAGCCCCCGCGCCCCCTCCCCGTTTTCATTGCTAAGGAGACCCATTATTTTCCTCACCTTGCAGCGCCTCCCGTAGGGTAGAAACAGCATTTGCTGAGGCGAGAGCAGAGCGCGTCCCCCCACGCTCGGGGCTGCTCCCCACTCGCGGCGGACTCCTGCCCCACCTACTTGGAGTCCCGGCCAGCCGCTGCCCCTTCTGCGCCCCCACTAGAGTGTCCCACCTGCCGACACCATCTCGCTGGGGCTCCCAGCACCACGGCCTGGGTTTCCGGGACACCGGGAGCCTACGGGAGGCTGGGGCGAGACTCCCTGGGCAGGATTCCTGGTGACTGAGTAGGAGTGCGGTTGCTGGGAGCCGAGGGCGGAGCGGGTGGGTGGAGGGAGCGCCCGGCCGGCCGGGGCACAGGAGCCGGGCAGCGCCCTCTCCACGTCGCCTTCTGGCTGCTTCTGCCGAGGCTCAGGCGACAACTGTGGTCCGGGGCTCCCGGCCCGTGGGGGAGGGAAGATGGCTTCCTCGCAGGCGGGGGCCGCGTGACTTGTCCCCAGACAGGATGGGCGTGTGGGTCCCTTTGGAAGGGGTTCCCTCTGAGTACAGGAATTTGCCTCTACGGAGGAGCAACCCATTCCCTCATATTGGGGTCGATAAACTGGTTCTGAGTTTTTGTTTCGGTACTGGGGTTGAACCCAGGGCTTTCACACTGAGCTGTATCCCTAATCTTTTTTTTTTTTTTTTTTTTTTTTTTTTTTTTGTATGTTAAAGAAGGGTCTAAGGGTGCTCAGGGTCTCACTACTAGATCAGACTTGTAGTGATCCATCTGTTTATAGCCTCCCAAGAGCTGGGATTACAGGGGCGCACCACCTGTATTTTTTTTTTTTTTTTTTTTTGAGAGAGTCTCTAAGTCATTAAGTGTCCCAGGCTGGCCTTGAACTTGTGATCCTCCCCCTGCCCCTGCAGCCTCTCAGGTCCTGGAGTCTCAGGTGTGTGCCATTCCACCCAGTTGTTCCTGAGTTTAGAACTGTTGGAACTTTGAGTCCAGCCCAGCAGCAAAGTGTTTTATTAACTAGAAATGATTTGGGACTGCTGAACCAAACTTCATGGCCACTGGAGACAAAGCCCAGCTCCAACAACACCATTTCTACCACCACTGCAGTGTCAGCCACGGCCCTGCATCTAGACCCCAGGCTGTAGCCAGCAGCAGGAAGCAAGACCCCTGAGGAAATGGCAGAGGGAGAGGGAGGCCCCGGATGTGGTGTTTCTCTAGTCTAGTGTGTCCAGGGTAAAAGCCTCTGTAAAATTGGTGGACGTTGGGCTGGTGAGATGGCTCAGTGGTCTAAAGCACCCACTTAGAACAAGCTAAGCTAAAGCAAAGCCCAGGGACTGCGGTTCAATCCCGCATGCCAGCCAGCCCCGTCCCCTGGTGGGCTGAGCTGGCCACACACACACTAAATAAATAAATAGTTAATTTAAAAAAATTGGTGGATGTGCCCCTACCGAGCTCCCTCCCTTGGCCAATTCTGAGGAGAACCCTGCCCTCTTCTGGCACCTGTTTTTCTTCTGGTACCTGGCCACGCCATGAGAACAGAGCATGTTCCCTTGGGCAGCCAGGGGAGCCTACCTGCTGGCTCTCTAGAAGAAATGGTGAGGATAACATTGTGAAGTTTTCAAACATATTCATACCAGTCAATTTTCTGTTGCTACAACAAAATACCTGAGATTGGGTACTGTGTAAAGAATAAAAGTTTATTTAGCTCACAGTTTTGGAAGTTCAAGAACATGGTAAGGGCATGGTAAGAACATGGCAGACAGCATCATGGAGGGAACATGCGTGTGTGTCTGTGTATGAGAGAGAGAGAGAGAGAGAGAGAGAGAGAGAGAGAGAGAGAGGACAGGCAAGGCGGCATCGGTATGCCTGAGGGGCTCCAGGCCCAGTTCACCCTTCTCACAGCAGCCCACCCTCACAGGAACTAGTTCACCGCAATAGAAGAGCGCCGGCCACCCCAGTGACCTGGCCACCTCTCCCCTCCTCCAGAGTCACCACACTGGGAAGCGAGCCTCTGCACACAGGCGCATGCAAACCCGTGCAAGCCACAGCCACTCCTCCGAGTAGACAGACATGCAGGAGTGTGTCCCCCGCCCGTTGCTCCACCGCGTGGTGGTCAGTCCAGCCGCGTGCCGCCAGCGTTCAGCGCCCCTCAGCGGCTACTTGGAAATAGCCACACTCCTGCATATGTTCCCTGCACGTTCCCGAGCGCGTGTGTCAGGCAGAACAGTGCCTTCACCCCGACACCCCCGAAGACACCTCATCCCTGCAGTCTGCGCCTGTGTCTGGTTGCACAGCAAAGGAAAATAGGGAACTAAGGTTGTCAGTCAGCTCGGCTTCAAGTAAGGGATTATCCAGGATTACCTGGGTGGATCTAACATAATCACAGGGTTTTAAAGTTTGGGAATGAGAGGCAGAAGAGGAAGTCCTATGGTCCCATGTGGGAGGAACTTGTTTGGGGCTTTGAAGATAAAGCAAGGGAGGGGGCTGGTGAGATGGCTCAGTGGTCTAAAGCACCTACTTAGAACAAGCTTAGCAAAGCACAGGGACCGAGGTTCAATCCCCAGCACCACATGCCAGCCAGCCCCGCCCCCTGGTGGACTGAGCTGGCCACACACGCGCACACACACACACACACACACACACACAAATCACAAATAAATAAAAAATTTAAAAAAGATAAAAAGAGAAAGCAAGGGAACCACGGGCCTGGGAACACGGGTGCCCCTGCAGCTGGGGCGGGAGGCATGGGCTGTGGTACAGGGCCTCAGAATAGAGGGCAGCCCTGCGGACACTTCCATCTAGAGAGGCTCCTTCTGGACTTTGAAACTCCAAAAGTGTGATCACACAGTGGAGTTGTGAGCCAGTAAGTTTGTGGAAATTCATTAGAACAGAAACAGGAAACTAATATACACCATCTCGTAAGAATGGGACCTGGTCTACTTCCCTAGGAACAGTAGACACAGGAGCAGACCCTCAGATGGGGGACTTCTGCACCCCAGAATTTCCTGCGGATTGCGATTAAGGCAAAGGAGATATGGAGATGAAAGCGAGAGGGGGCTAAGAGAATCTTGCCGAGAGAAGCTGTGAAGACACTGGGACCCTAAAGATGAAGGTCCTTGTGGGCTCTATGCAGGGGGCCAGGGAGGAGCAGGGCTGGCAGCTGGGACAAGAAGGGGCAGGGAGCTAGAGGAGAAGAGCCAAACAGGGAAACACCCAACTTCCTTGGGGACATTCAAGTGACACCTGTTGCCACAGACCGTGTCGAGAATTAGGGTGGAACGAGGAGGTCCATTGTCTCCACACCACAAGCCAGGCCTGTTTCCGTGTCCCCCACCCCGCCGACAGGATAAAGGGCTGCGGCCGTGGGGCCCAGGGAGATGCCAGGGCTCAGCAGGATGCAGGGCTGTGTGGCAGGGAGCTGGGCTCCTCTGGGGCTGCTCCTGGTCTGTCTGCAGCTCCCAGGTACGGAGGCTCTGCCAGGCTTGGGGTAGGAGGGCTCTGGGCTCCTGCGACCAAAAATGGGAGAAAGGGTCTCTTTGAGCTTGGGTCTCAGCTCTCAGCTGAGGGCAGGGAAGGGAAGGAGCTGGCTTCAAACATCCAGATCCAAGCTTCTTGGTCTCCCCTCAGGCCTCTTTGCCCGGAGCATTGGCAGTGCAGCTGAGGAGAAGGCGTCTCCACCCCTGGGGGCCAGCCTGCCCATGCTGGGACAGCCACCCTTCAGCACTGGACGTGGCCAGCCCCACATGGCCCCAGGCTCCGACGACATCACAGGAGTTCCTTCACTGTTCAGTATGCCTGCACCGGGTGGCCTCCAAGCTGCAGGCCGTGCAGGGGGGCAGCAGTGGCCTCTGTCCTGGGGGCTGCCCCCCATGGAGTCCTGGCTCTCCGAGGTCCCTTGGCAGGTGATGACTGGGGCAGCTGAGGACCCTCTGGAGCAGGTGCTGCCCGAGGAGCTGGCTTACCTTTCCGGCCCCGACGTGCTCCCCCTGGGCGGAGGGTCGTGGCCCGAGGCGTTCTCTGCCAGAGCTGCACAACCTGCACCTGAAGCTTCGCCCGTCCACCTGGACTCGGCAGCCAACCGGCTGTCCCTTGCCACGCCGCTGGGAGTCCCCGGAGATCCGCTTGCCCAGCGCCCTTTCTGGTCTCTCCTCTCCAGGCTTCTGCCTCGTCTGCCCTGGGGGGCTCTGAATCCCAGTGTGCCTTGGGGAGGGGGGGTTCTGGGGACAGGTTGGGGAACGAGGCCCATGCGCTACCCTTCCGGGGCCTGGGGTATCAACAGTCAATTCCCAGGCGGCGGCTGGGGGTCGTCTATTAACAGGTACCCAGGGGGCGGCTGGGGGTCGTCTATTAACAGGTACCCAGGAGGCAGCTGGGGGTCGTCTATTAACAGGTACCCAGGAGGCAGCTGGGGGTCGTCTATTAACAGGTACCCAGGGGGCGGCTGGGGGGACACTAGCCGGTACCCTGGAGGTGGCTGGGGAGCAGGCATCTGGGGGAACAACAGCCGGTATCCAGGTGCTAGAGGGGGGCGCACTGCGCCGGCGGTCACCCGACCACGCGGCCCTTCCTGGTACTTCCCAGCCGGCTTCCCAAGTCCTCAAAACCCTGGCTTGCAGTAGGGCTGCCACGGAGCACGGGCGCCCGAGGCCGGGAGACAGGAAGGGATGGGCTCCTGCCCTTGCCCTGCAGGTGGCACTAGGCGGAGTTTCACCTGCCCGCCGCTGCCCCACGCTGACCTCCAATAAAGCACAGCAGCTGTCCAACTTGCTCTCCGCGTCTTTTTTTCCGGACATAAAGCAAAATGCGCTGGGTCCATCCGCACTTCCAGCCACCCCACTTCTCTTGGGATCCCCTCTCGCCCAGGCGGTGGTGGGGGCGCCCCATGCTCTCCTGGCTCAGGCTCAGAGAGTGTGAGGGGCGCAAGCTGGTGGAGGTCAGAAGCCAGCTTGGGGCTGGGTGACTACGCCCTCCCAGTCTCCGCCGGCCCGAGGACCACTCTGTCCTCGCCGTCCACGTGCCTGGGTGCTGGCGACTCCTCCCAGGTGCGTCCCTCGGGGCTCTGTGCCCCAGGGACCGCAGACTATGGGCAGTGGCTGAGCTAATCGCTGCAGCTCGGGACAAGAAGACAAGAGGAGGGTGAGGGGAAGAGTCGCCGCCCAGCGCCCAGTGCCCAGCGGCTGGCTCCTGCCCGAGCCTGCCCGAGGGGCTTCGCGGTCCTTCCTCTCTCCTACGTCCTCCCAGGAGCTGAGAGCGGTGCACAGAGCCTGGGCGAGGCCAGGCCCAGTCGGTAGGCAAGGGGTGGATGTGCACCTTTCTGCGCTCAATTTGGCACGCTGCGTCCTCCACCCTGGGGATCCAGGCGCCTGGGCCCTCTGTACAGCCTGGGCCCCAGGTCCAGGACACCGGCTAGCTGGGCCAGGAGGCAGGAGGAGGACGGACCAGAGCCAGGGCCACAGGGGTCTCCTGTCCGCCGCTGCCCTGAGTCTCCCTTGGGGTGCCCTGGCCTCTCCCCTGCCGGCCACACCCCCTCCCGCTCCTGTTTCCAGAGCTTCCGCAGGCCCAAGCCCCTCCTTTCAGGATCAAGGGCTTGTTCCTCTCTGTCGTTCTTCAGGTCTCCCCACTCCCTCTTATTTCAGTTTATTTACCCCCCCCCCCCGTACTGGGGACTGAACCCAGGGCTGTGGCACTGAGCTACATGGCCCACCTTTTCTATTCTGAGACAGAGTCTCCCTAAGTCTCTAAGTGGCCCAGGCTGGGCTAAAAATTTCAATACCCCTGCCTCGACATCCCGGAGTTCTGGGTTACAGATGCCAGGTGAGGGCCATGAGATGCTGCCTGCATCTGTAGTTCCTGCTCTGTCCCCAGGGCCTTGTCTGCTTGCTGGCGGTCACACCCCAGCTCAGGAACAGCGCTCAGCAAACACCGAGCAAGGTGGGGAGCCCCTCTGGCTCTGCCCCTCTCGGGCCTCCCAAAGCCTACATGTTGCAGGCTGTGGCCCATCGTGGCAGTCCTGGGAGGTGGCGGGAAGTGTAAGGGGAAGTGGTCTTCAGGTTCCTCGGTGGGACTCGCAGCCCTCCACCCCAGGAAGTGAGTGCCTTTGCTCCAGCACTTGCTCCAGTGCTGCCTCCCGACAGGCCCAAAACAAGGCCAGCTGCTGCGAACTGCACCTTCCAACACCGTGAGTCAAAGCAAGCCTTTCCTATCCGGATGGGTCATCTCAGGACTCCGTTATGGTGGAAGGCTGGCCAATGTCTCTGCTGTTTTCTCTTTTCCAACCTGTTCCTGGGCCACCCAGCCACCCAGAGTCCTATCCAAACCCTCGCTCAGCTCCCAACGCATCACTCAGCCTTGCTGTGCGAGTCAGGGCTGCCTTGGGAGTCTTTCTGCCGGCGGAGACACAGCCTCCGAGCTCGAGGTCCTCCTGGCAGGAGCTGCAAGTCACAGGCGTGAGCCTGAGCTCATTTTTCTCGGCTGTCCAAGGAGTGTTCAAGCACATGTGCAGTTAGCTGAAGCCCCGACTGGCTTTTGCTACATGTGCCGGGTCCTGGACAAACTGCTCCTCCCACAGCCCACAGGGGGGCGCTGGGGGCCCCTCTTACGGGGGTGGGGGATGGGGGGCGGGGGGGGGGCGGCTGAGGCCCAGAGGGCTGGGAGCCAGCGCGGCACACGGGCTGCGTGTCTCCGCCTGCAGCTGGGTGCTGGTGGCTCTCAGGAGCGGGGGTGGGTGGGGTCAGCAGCAGAGGTGCTGGGACCCATGGCAGTCACAGCAGAGTCTGGCCAAGGTCAGCAGGGTGCTTAAAGGGGAGGGGCCGGCAATCTCGTATATGAGGGAGGCCCCATTTGCAGAGAGGACCCTGCCGGTGTCCTGATCGAGACACTTCTGGTAGCCCTAAGAAGCTGTGGCTGACACAGGGAGCACCTCTCCCACCCGACGAGGAACGAGGCCAGGTGAGAAGAGAGGGGTTCAAGGCTGGAGGACCAGGGACCCTGTTGGGCACACAGCCTCCCCTGCCACACCCTGGCGTGGGCAAGCCCCTTTGCTCTGCAGACCTCTGTTTTCTCGTCTGTGCAGTGGGATGAAAGGAGACTTCTGGCCTACGCCACAGGGCTGCTGTGGCATTCTATTAGACAGCGATGAGGTATGTTCATGACTGAAAGCTCCCGTGAGTGTGCTGGGGACCGAAGCCAGTGTGAGCTGTCCTGAAGGAGGGCTCTTAGCCCAGGCTGGGAGACGCCTCTGGAAGCTGGAGGACGGGCAGCACCTGACCCCCACGCGGCTTCAGGGTGGGAATCTGCCGCCCCCCGGGGGCAGGGGGGGGGCAGGCACAGAACTTGGTGCCTGGCGGTGCAGCCTGGAAGGCTGAGCGTCTCCAGCTGCTCCTTGCCCCTCCCAGCACACGCGGCCACGGGATTCACCCTGCTCTTTCCCCACCAGGCTGTCCTGAGTTCGGGGACTCAGCACCTCTGCCTCAGCTGTGCTGGCCTGGGCACTGCAGGGAAGTGGCCACACCCAGTGCCAGCCCGCTCTCTGCTCAGCCCTCAAGGGGGCCCAGCCAACCTGCATGGTAATCCCGGGGGCGGCTCTCTGCATCTGCCTGGGTGACTCAGGGGAAAGCCCCAAGGTCCTAAGCACCTGTCAGCGTGGCCTGGAACTGGAGTGTTTCTCTTGGAGGGGAAAGGGTGGAGCTGAAGTCAGACAGCCTCAGTGTGTGCCCTCGGCGACAGCCCTCCACGGGCAGGTGCTCTTCACTTACCCCAGGGTCAACACAGCGCCCAGCGTGGCCGCAGCGCCAGCCCCACACCCTCTGTGGCCCGGAGCCAAGGGAGGGACAGGGTGATGCTGCTGTCACGTGCTCACCCCGGTGGCCAGTTGGTGTGGTGGGGAGGCCTTCCCTGCCCAGAGCAACAGCGACAGGGCATCAGGAGCCACATCTCATCAGAGGGGACAGTCAGGGGCTGGACCCGCCAGTCCCAGAGCGGTGCCACCACAGTGGGGCCTCATACAGCTTCTCCAGCCCCGAGGAGGACAGTCCTATGCTCGATTCACTCCCCGTGCCCGAAGCCGCCCCGGCAGCCTTTCCTGCCTGTGTGGAAGCTGCACGCGGGACTCTGGCCGGCCGCCGCTGCGCGCTGCCTCCAGGTCAGCTTGCACACTGGTGTCAGGGCTTCACGGCCGCCATGCTCACCCCTTCTGCTCCGGTGCACAGACACAGCGCATCACTTCCATCGTCCACTGGCGCTGTGCCTCTCTGGGGCCACAAGTGGCGCTGTCACGCAGGTCACACGCAAGCGCCTGTGTAGAAGCCTGAGCCTGCGTTTTCTGAGCTGTTGCCCTGTAGGTGTGAAGTAGGAGGTTAGGACCAGGACAAAGGGTCAAACAACAGGGCGGAGTGTGTCACCATCCGGAGACCAGGTGACAGCGCAGAGCACAGGCCCCACAGCAAGGACGGCAGCTCCCGAGTGCGACGCGGGACCCACCAGAAAAGTGCTGCTCCCAGCCTTCATTCCCCCGAGGGTGGGGGGGCACGTCTTCCGAGGGACAGTGTGAATGCGCTGCAGCCAGGGGAAGCTTGGAGGGACAAGCGTCCAGGGCTGTGGCCCGGAGCCCCCGGTGCAGAGGAGCCTCCCCATGTCATGTCGCTCTCCCGCTGCACCGCGTGCTTTTCCAGCTGCCTTGTCCTCCTGTCGTACCCAAGAACCTAGAAGGGGGCTGGTGAGATGGCTCAGTGGTCTAGAGCACCTACTTGGAACAAGCTCAGCAAAGCGCAGGGACCGCGGTTCAATCCCCCAGCACCACATGCCAGCCAGCCCCGCCCCCTGGTGGGCTGAGCTGGCCACACACACACACACACACACACACACACAAATAAATAAACATTTAAAAAAAATAAAAAAAAAATAAAAACAAGAACCTAGAAGGGATCCCCGCGCCCACTCTCGGTGAGGGCCAAGCTTCCTGGCCGCGTGGTGACTGCGTCAGGCGCGCCCACGTGGCTGCACAGTTCACATTCATATCAGCCATGCAGTGCTACAAATGTAGTTTTCTTTCTTTTCTTTTTCTTTTTGTTCTAGAACTAGGAATTGAATTAAGGGCTTTCATACTGTACTATATCCCTCAGCCCTTTAATATATATATATATATAGATAGATAGATAGATAGATAGATAGATATAGATATATATTTGTGTGTGTGTGTGTGTGTGTGTGTGTGGCCAGCTCAGCCCACCAGGGGGTGGGGCTGGCTGGCATGTGGTGCTGGGGGATTGAACCGCGGTCCCTTGCTTTGCTAAGCTTAGTTTGTTCTAAGTAGGTGCCTTAGACCACTGAGCCATCTCACCAGCTCACAAGGTAAGTTTAAACTTAAGTTCAGTCCTCCTGCCTCAGCCTTGGGAGGGGTGAGAAAAGAAAGAGAAAAGGGTGTTTTAAAAAGAAAATTAAGGAGAAAAACATGGAAACGGAACTTCTGTAAATGTGGAGGGGAAGAGGAGTTACAGAGAGCAGAGAGGACCGGGCAGAACGAGAATTAAGACACACACGTGCAGGAAGATCCTCCAGGATGGACGTGATCATTGTGTGTGGCCGACGGCTTTCCTTAATTCTATGTATTTGGTACACAGTCTCACTATGTGGCTCAGCCTCGTCAGTGCTGAGATTACAGGCGTGCGCTACCACGCTCGGTTTTGGTGGCCGGTGGGGCGCGGTACCAGGAATCATACCCAGGTCCCTGCGCTTGCCAGGCAGGCACG